AAAATCAGGAATTCTAATCATGTCTTTTAACAGTTCTAAGAGCTCTTTTCTTCCCCCCCATCTCCTGTGTGTATTTATCCAACACGTTTTCCGTGCACTGCAGTGCGGGACACACAGCTTCGTGTAACAACACATGGCCCCGAGCTTAGGGAGTTTGTACTGTCAGCTTTTTAAAATAACAATTTATTGGGGTGACATTGGTTAATAAAATTTTACAGGTTTCGGTGTACTGTTCTACAGTACATCATCTGTATATTGTATTGTGTGTTCACCACCCCAAGTCAAGTCTCCTTCTGTCACCATGTACCCCACTTTACCCTCTTCGACCTCCCCCTACCCTGTTTCTCTCTGGTAATCACCATACCATTGTCTGTGTCCTTGAAGTTTTGTTGTTTTTCTAATCCCTCACCTTTTTTGCCCTGCCTCCCAGCCCCCTCCCCTCTGACAGCTGTCAGTCTATTCTATCCGTGAGACTCTTTGTATTTTGTTTGTTAGATTATTTTGTTCATTAGATTCCATATATAAGTGAAACGATATGGTACTTGTCTTTCTCTTATTGGCTTACTTCCCTTAGCATAATACCCTCCAGGTCCATCCATACTGTCACAAAAGATAAGATCTCCATCTTTTTTATGGCCAAGTAGTATTCCACTGTGTAACATACCACAGCTTTTTTATCTACTCATCTACTGATAGCACTTGGGCTGCTTCAAAATCTTGACAAATGTAAATAATGCTGCAGTGACTATGGGTGGTGGTGGTGCATATATTCTTTCAAATTAGTGTTTTGTGTTTCTTTGGCTATATTCCCAGAAGTGGAATTGTGGGGTCATAAGGCAGCTCCATTTTAAGTTCTTTTAGGAAACTCCATACTGCTTTCTAGGGCGGCTGCACCGATCTGCGTTCCCACCCACAGCGCATTGAGGGTTCCCCTTTCTCCACATCCTTGACAGCACTTGTTGTTTGTGGATTTGTTGATGGCAGCCATTCTGACAGGTATGAGGTGATATCTCATAGTGGTTTTAATTTGCATCTCTCTGATGATTAGTGACATTGAGTATCTTTTCATGTGTCTATTGTCTATTTGTATGTCCTCTTTGGAGAAGTGTATATTTACCATATTTTGCCATGTGTAATGCACACTGTTTTGCCCAAATTGCTGAGAGAAAACTAAGGGTGCACATTACACGTGGATATAATGATTACATGCATGGGTATAACAATGGGCATAATAATCCTGTGTATAATATGCACAAAACATGCGTGTACATTATACACAGCAAAATACGGTAGGTCCTTTGCCATTTTAAAATTCGATTACTAGTTTTTTTTGGTGTTGAGTCATATAACTTCTTTATAAATTTGGGATATTAACCCCTTATCAGGTGGATCATTGGTGAATATGTTCTCTCATTTAGTGGGTTGTCTTTTCATTTTGCTGATGGTTTCCTTTGCTGTGCAAAATCTATTTAGTTTGATGTAGTCCCAATCATCTTTTCCTTTGTCTCCCTTACCTGAGGAGATATATCGGAAAAAATATTGCTATGAGAAATGTCTGAGATTTTACTGTATATGTTTTCTTTTAGGATTTTTGTGGGTTTGAGTCTAAACATTTAAGTCTCTAATGAGTGAGTCTAAGCTATTTTGAGTTTATTCTTGTATGGAGTGTAAGGAGGTGGTCTAGACACGTTTACACTCCATACAAGTGTATGGAGTTTCTTTTTTTTTTGCACATATCTGTCCAATTTCCCCAACACCATTTATTGAATAGACTATCTTTAGCCCATTGTATGTTCTTGCCTCCTTTGTCAAATATTATTTCTGGGCTTTCTATTCTGTTCCATTGATCTGTATGTCTGTTCTTATCCCAGTACCATGCTGTTTCTGATTACTGTGGCCTTGTATTATAATATGATATCAGGTAGCATGATTCCTCCAACTTGGTTCTTTCTCAAGATTGCTGTGGCTATTTGGGGGTCTTTTGTGGTTCTATATACATTTTTGGAATATTTGTTCTAGTTCTGTGAAATATGCTATTGATATCTTGATAGGAATTGCTTTGAATGGATAGATTGCTTTGGGTAGTATGGACATTTTAATGATGTTAATTCTTCCTATCCATGAACATGGTATGTGCTTCCACTTATTTGTATCTTCTTCAATTTCTTTCCCCATTTCTCTGATCTGGCTGCCTTCCCTGTGTTCTGAAAGGCTGTGCCCACATGGAAGTGTATGTGTGTGGGGGGGTCAGAACCCCTCAGAGGCAGAGTGTAACAGACTGTCTGTGGCCCCCAGAATCATCTTTCCCCTGCCATCTTCCCTTTATTGCTTTTTTAAGAAAATCAATAACAGCAAAACTTGCCTCTTAAGCAGTTGCTGTGGTTCTAAACAGCTGACAGGAGAGTTCATTGGGTCACCTCTGTATAGGAACTTAGGGCTCGTGGAAGGGGAGGAGAGAGCAAAACCAAATTTGGTGGGACTTAAAAATTCATCACTTCCCAGCTTCTCTGTTATGGGCATCTGAAGGCCTGGGTATGATTTTAAAGTGTCCTCGGTGGTTACAGCATTTTGAGTAGGGGCTGGACCAGTGTCTGTTCTGTTCTAGTGGCACGAGTGGTTGTTAGATGTTTACTTGACGTTTGCTTCCAGCTGGAGCTTGGGGCTGAGGTTTGGAATGTGTCTGTTAACTAGGAGTGGATAGGAGGCTTGTCCTTGTTACTGCTCATGTCAAAGTGGTGGACATTTTCCCACCGCTGCACAATTTCTTCTCTAAAATGACAGGCATTCAGATTACCTAGAGGTACTTGCTACTTAAAAACTGGTCTCTAAAAGCCACTCCATAATCAGCCAGGCACACTGTAGGCAAAGCGCTCATCTCAAAGTAGTCTAGGACGAGCAGGGGTTGTGCTCATTACAAGCACTGGCTTCCTAACAGGCATTACTGACGCGTCAGCATACCAATGCTCAGAAAAAAACCTCCCTTTCAAAGCTCTTGATATCTAATTGATTTACTGCTTCCCTTCAAAGCCTAATGAACTAAGAGTGAGAGAGTTGTTCCTTCAGAGATTTGAGACAAATCCACTCTGTCACGCAGTGAACCAGTGAACGGTAGCTCAGCGTGAGTTCTGTTACTTTGTGTTTGTGGACCACCCCTTTTCCCCCCGCCCTTAGTGCCCTTCATGGGTGTTTCAGGGAGTATGATGTTAGTGCTCAAATTTAAATTTTATTGCTCAGTCATTTCACAGCTGTTACTTGCTTCAGTTGCTTTGAGAGGCTAAGTTCATGACCCGTTGGGGACATGCACACTCACGATCGCTGTGGCTTTAAACCAAGCCGTCTTAAACTTAAGTTCTTGTTTCCCAAAGCACTGAAGGAGCCAACTTCCTTCATTTTGCTTCTCTTTCTGTTCAGGAGAACATATTATAGAAGTTCTCTTTCAAATTGTGTCTGCACCTTAATAATATTTTGTGTTGACTAAGTAGAGACTTGTGTTTCATTTTTTGTATTGGGAAATGGGAGGAATATTAGGATGATCTCATTGTTGATGTGGTTGTCTGGAGCAGTTTGTCTTCTAAAAGATTGTTCCCTTCTGTTCCTCCCCCACATTTTATTATGAAAAATTTGAAATATACGAAAAAATTAAAAGAACTGGTCAGTGAGTCTTTATGTTAATGTTAACATTTTGCTATATTTTCTTTATCACAGAGCAATCCACCTAGCTTTTTAAAAAATGTTATTGATTGATTGATTAGAGAGAGACATTGGTTTGTTGCTCCATTTATTTATTGGTTGATTTCTGTATGTGATCAAACCCTCAACATTGGTGCATGAGGACAACACTCTAACCAACTGAGCTACAGTACAGCCCGGGCTGTCTAGCTTTCTCTTTACCCTGGTTTGGTTTTTTTTTCCCCTCAAGAAGAAATGATCTTTACAGCTAATAGTAAAGTGGGGAGGGAAACCGACAGGCATGCGCAGTGCTGCACATATTAAACATAACAGAGCAGGCTGACAAATGAGCGAGTGAATGTGAATGAATGAGCGAGTGGACAAAAGATCCATCTGAACAGAACGCGCTTCTAGCTCCAGCTAAATCTGTGCCCATAGGGGTTTACTGTTGGGCCAGGAGGTAACAAACCAGAGAGAGCAAACCACTTTGCCAGGTGGCCCATATGACGCCTTCAGCGAAGGTGCACATGGTCAGCATGGCTAATGGAGATCAGAAGAGGGACTGTGATCCCAGAAGTACAGGGCAGTTGTCAGAGGCTTTTAAAAGTGATGGAGCTGGAACTGTGCCAAGACGTGGAACAGGGGCTGAGAACAGAGATGGGCACAGGGCAGTTCCGAGCCATGGGGAGCCTGGGGCTTCCACATGCTTCAGAGGACGGCGGTGTGGTGAATAGCAAGCTGCCCACCAGAAGCCCTTCCTTTAGGTGATTGGAGAGTGGACCGTCTTTGAGCTCCGAGGCAGGACCCTCACCTGTACTGGGCAGGACCGCTCCTGTTTCCCAAGCACTCCCAGTTACTCCCACTCAAGGGCTTGGCCCCTGCTGCCACTCTGCTTGGAACATCCTCCTTCTGGCCTCTGTTCAGTGATAACTTCCCTGTCCTCCCCCATATAAAATAGCAGCTTCTGCTGGTACACACCATCCTCCAGCACTCTCCAGCATGCTTTGTTCTGCTTTGTGCTGTGTCCCTAAAGCCTAGCATAGTGCCTGTGCTTATACAGCCGTGTGTGTGCATATGTCTAGGTATATACCGATAGAGCCCGTGTTCAGGGAACAGTTCATGCATGAAGGAATGAAAAATTGGGAATTCTGAGGTCAGCAGAGAGTCATAGCTCAGGGCTAGTGGCCTTGTGGGGGAAGGATGAAAGCTGGGTTTGGGTAGCTTGCTCTATTTAGGCTCCAAGGAATTCACCCACGACATTTTCTCTTTGAAGTACTCATGTCCCTCAGTGAAGCCCTTGCTGAATCTGATGCTTCTTGTCCCCTTCCCAGGACCCCGGTAGTGGACCATGAGTCGGTAATGCCCACTGAGGACCTCTGGGAGCCATGTCAGACGAATCCGCCTCAGGGAGCGATCCAGACCTGGACCCGGACGTGGAGCTGGAGGATGCGGAAGAGGAGGAGGAGGAGGAGGAGGTGGCAGTGGAGGAGCCCAGCAGGGATGATGAGGAGGACCTGCTGGATGGTGAGTGGCTCTAGTGGGTGACAGAGGCTGCCTTGTCTTTAAGGCAGCCATTTACCTTCTAATGTTGGCTGGCTGAGCGCGGTGCTTCCAGTTGGGTTCCTTAGGTCTCCATTGTGAGAGGACGGGTTGGAAACACAGTAACACTGAGCTTATGTGCTCCTTCTCAGGAAATGGGTGGTTCCGTATAAGCCTCACTTCAGTGCTGGGAGGACCTTCAGCGTTTATTTAGCTCTTTGATAGACGTGCAGACACAAGCCCCAAGGTCAGAGAGCGGGGCCTGCTGCCCAAGTCATGGAGGATGGAGGAGCCAGTGGCAAAGTGCCTGCGACCACACTTGGTGGTCCAGGGCCAAGGGCCCATGAGGTGGTCACAGGTAGGCCTAGGGGTGACAGAGACTGGTCTGTGCGTTTCCTAAAATTACACTCCCAGTTCTCCTCGTGCGGACAGGAGGGGGTTCCCCGGGGGGAGAGTCTCTGATGGGTCCACAGCTGCACAGGGCTCAGCGCGGCCCCTGCGCCAGGCCCGTTCGGTGCTCCTCCTGGAAAAGAACTGCACCCCTGTAGCTGGTAGCCCCTCGGCTCTCCTGTTCCGTTTGCTCAGCTCACCCCTTCCTTTGCCCCAAGTTGCTGAGGTGACATTGGACTTTTTCTTTTCATCTTCAGTCTCATGCGAGGTAATCTGGCCTGACACAGGACTTCTCAGTTCTTGCCTTTCATTGCATGGCATCTAATTGCTTGTAAGCTTCCTATCGACGGAGCAATAACATTTTTGGTTTGTTCTAGCAGACCACCCTAGTGGAGTGGCACATTGCACCAGATCATCGCTGCGTGGATCTGAAGGAGCCCAGGAGTCTGCCATTCCCCAGATTCTAGGAGGATGAACATCGGTCCTCTGTCTTCACCCATGCGCCTGTTTTCAGTTCTTTCTCTTAGCGGCTGCCATGTGGTTCAGGGTCAGCCTTCCTTCAGTTAGACCGTCCAGAAGTCTCTCCCCACTTCCGCTTCATCTCTGGCAGGCAAATTACCATATCACTGATCTTTTTTTTCCTGGCAGCATCTTTTGCTGTTCACTGCTAGCTTATTCCATTAGAGTTTCCCCTCAGTTGCTGCTGTACTTCCTTCCTGTAAAGTAGAGTGAGTAGAAATAAGGGGAGGTAGTGATGGGAGGGGCACGGTAGACTGTCTTGCTTGGCTCTCGTGGTCCCTGAGATGGTGTTAGAGGCCCTGGGTATCTGCATCCCTTTTTATCACTTGTTGCTTTGTCTCATTTGGGTTCTGGGAGTTATATTTTCAGATATCCCTAGAACTCTTGTCGGGTTTAGATTGGATTTTAGGCGCTGCTGGTGAGTATAGTGAAATATATTCTATCCAGAAATCCAGCCATGTAATATGAAAAATAGAGACATTTATTGAAGAAGGTAACACTGTGCATAGGACGATGGTGCCTCAGTCCCCTTCAAAGTAGGCCCCCTGGGACCTCACACAGTTCTCCCAGTCGCTATCAGGTGCCCTGTCGTATTTTCCTGAATCTCATTGATGGTCTGAAGTCTCTTCCCTCTCAAAGGTGATTTTAGTTTTGGAAAAAGCCAGAAGTCACAGGGCGCCAAATCTGGGCTGTTTGTAGGGCTGAGTCACCTGGGTGATTTGATGTTTCGCCAGAAACTCTGCACGAGATGTGATGCATGAGCAGATGCGTTTTTGTGATGAAGCTGCCAATCTCTGGTTGCTTGTAGCTGCGGCCTTCTGAATCATCCAAATAGTTTCCTCGGAGGAATGTTTAGGCTTAATGTAAAACTTGATGCAGATTCATTGCTCTACTGAGTCATTTGGAATGTGACAGCCACACAGACACATTCACTCAGTGGTGTTTACCACCCCCACTGACTAGTACAGTGAAGTCATCATTGTTCACGCATGTGCATTCCAGTCCACACTCCTGGGCTGCCAGGTGACATCAGTGTCACGCAAATGGTTCTCGTTATATTAACAATGGCTGGACTTTTTCTGGACAGATTATATATATATCTTGTCTTCTTCCCCCTTGGTTTCTTGGAATCCTTTTCTCTTTGTCAGGTTCTTAATTTTTTTTTAATTATATGCTTCTGGAGACTTTACCATTTATTTAGAAGTGGTGAGGGTTTAATTGTGATTTGTCTTAGAATAGTGCAGCTATGTCATTGGAATGTTTTAAAAAGAATATTTGTACAATTCTCGGGAAATTTTTTTTTTTTTTAATTTCAAATGATGTCTTTTCATTGCTTATGAGGTGTGGAGTGATAAAAGTTGTTCCATAGGTACTGTCTTCTTCCTAGCCCTGCTAAGGTGTTTAACTTCTTGGGATTTGATTCAAGGACCATTTTAATGTTTCACTATAGTGTTAGAGCTATGCACTGACCACTGCCCCTCCCCCCCCAATATAAGTGGTATTTCTGTTACTCATGGCTCAGTTTTAGCTCTTGCAGCATTTCTGGTCCTCTCATTGTGAACACTGTGCAGCTTTGCTGGGGCATCTGAGACGGCATGCCTGGTTCTTCAGTCTGGCCCTTGGCCACTGGTCATCCCACAGTCCTCACAGCCAGCTTCTCTCTCTCTCCCTCCCTCCCCTCACCTCTCCCACTTTCTCTCTTTCTCCCTCCCTCTTTCCCTCCCTTCCTTCCCTTAGAGTACATTTTCTAAAGTGAAACAGGAAGGGCCTAGGATAAAAGAAGCAACAGGAGAGCGGCTCACTAGCCAGCTACTCTTACATGAGGAATAGCTGTGAATAGTCTGGTCTTGCTGTGTTGTGAAGTGGCCCTTTTGTCTCCTGTGAGCAGTGGTTCGGAACCTAGCATGCTCCTGCCTCCCGCGGGACAGTTTACAGCATCTGGAGACATTTTTGGTTGTCAGGACCCCTAGGGGGTGGGGGGTATGCTCCTGACACCTTGTGGGTAGAGACCAGGGACGCTGCTAAACATGCCACAGTGCATGGACAGCCCCTCCTACACACAGTTATCCAAGCCAGCATGTCAGTAGCGCTGAGCTTGAGAAGCCCTTTCCAAAAGGAAACTGTTACCTCAAGGCCTTTTATTTGAAGTTTCCTCTAGTGGATAACAATAGCTCACTGTCATATTGCTTAGTCAGAGTTTACAGAAACATCGGAACAATCTTATTAACCTTTTCAGAGAACTGTCCTTTGGCTTTGGTGATCCCCTCTATTTTGTTTGTTCTCTTTTAATATCTACTTTACTGCCCTGGCTGGTCTGGTTCAGTGGACTGAGTGCCAGCCTGCAAACCAAAAGGTCCGGTTTATTTCCCAGTCAGTTTCTCTCCCTCTCTTTCTCCCTCCCTTCCCCTCTCTCTAAAAATGAAGAAATAAAATCTTTAAAAAAATAATATCTATTTTACCATATTCCTCTTTCTACTTCTTTGGGTTTATTTTGTATTACCATCAAACTTAAGAACGTGCTTATCAGCTCATTAGGCTTCCTCCCCCCAATATAAGCATCTAAAACTATAAATTGCCCTCTAAATACCAGCTCTGTTCACAAGCATTTTTGAAACACTTTCTCCCACTTGATTATCTTTATAGGACTTGGTGACTTACTAGATACATGGGGCAGGTTGAAGACAGAGTAGGTGAAGCCTTAGAGGGTGAGGAAACCTTTACCAAGGTGGGAAGGATAGGATAGGAAGTGGATGAGGGAGGTAAAGGTATTTCTAGCTTTGCTACTTTAGATTGGGGTGTTGTCTCCCCTTGACCTTTGAGTGTTGACTGGTGGGACATCAGTCTGAGAACTGGCTGTGACAGAATAGGGAGGCTTTGGCTATTGGGAACAGCACCGTGACTTTGACTTTTAAAAAAGTGGGATTAAGACAGCGTTTTATTTTTGTAACAGGTTAGGGGAACCATGGCATGCTGTGAAAAATTTTTACTTTGGTTTTTCATTCCCTTGGGTTTTTGTTTTTATTTTTATTCCTCTTGACATCTGTGCTGGGGTTTCTCTATTCTTTTGAAGTGGGCAGAGTTGGGTATCAGAACCTTTGGGATCTGTCATTAGAGGTAGGGGTTCAAAACGTGGTGCCTCTGGAGTTGGCTTTCCTCAGGCCTGGTGTTTCTGACTCGGTATTTTCTGCTAGCTCAGCTTCAGATCCAGTCTTTCTGGGCACTCAGGACCCTCACTGAAAGGGGCAAGAAGCCCTGGTTTAAGTTAGGCGACCAGATCTGGACACAGACTGGCTTGATGGGCACAAGTTTTTAGAACATACAGGCCTTCTCTTTTCATTTCATTCTTGTCTATTTTGTATGGCATATCAGGAGATGAGGACCCTGGAACCACAGGTAGTTATGTGGCATGCTTAGTCCCCTCTGTAACCTGCTTCACAACCATTTTATTGACAGAAAGCCTCCTCAGTGTCAACTTTGACCTCAGGTTGATCCCCTCCACCTTGGCCTGCTAGGTAAAGAAAGCTGGTCTCTTTCTGAACCCCTGGGTCTCTGACTCTCCTGCAGGGAGTTTGCTTTTTGCTTTTTCTCTGATCCACTCTACTTGTCCTCTTTGCTTGCAATATGAAGAATCAGGAGTAAAATGTGCTAGGCAGAGGGCCAGGGCAAAGGCCCTGGGGTGGAAACAAATTTGCTTGTTTAAGAATCAGAAAGGCAGAGGCCATGACAGCTGGCTCAGGGGGAGCAAAGGGCAGAGTCCTCTGGGTGAGGTAGGCGGGGCTAAGTGTGCCTATACCGGGGGACCTGGGCTTCAGGGCTTGGATCCTAATAGGCGCTGTTCCAGACTCGCACTGTAAGCGCTTAACTGCTTTTCCAGAACAGCCTTGTTAGAAATCAAGTCGTGCCAGTTTTGATACCAGTGTCTATCCTTCCTTTCTGTGTACCAGGCTTAGAGGCACAGAGTACAGAGATCTGCTGGGGACAGACGTCTCTTTTGTTTGTCAGCATCAGAAAAGCATGTCGTATATTGATTCAGTTACTCAGAGTGACTTTATAGGAACTTTAACACTCCTTTCAAT